ATTATTAATGTATTATTCGAAACAATTTTTGGTCAACTCCGACACGCGTAACCAACTCCGATTTAACGAAGACCGAGCAACATCGGGAAGTCCCATGAAATTGCACCGCGTCTCGATGATCGCGGATGGTTTTATGCTTTTCAATGCGAAACAGCGACGACGAACGCTAAATATAAAGCAACATGACTGAACTACGACCTCGTGAAAACGCTGGTTAAAAGACTATATCCGTACGTACGCGGAGAACAGCCTCGTTCCGTGGGGTTTCACGACTTTTCGCGGTAGGAAATTCTCCCGGCGCTTTCCTACTCGCTCGTTTCGGCGGCGAAACGCGCGTGGCAACGTGCCAGCGTTGGAGAGATGAATCGCGGACAGGATTTACCGAATGATCAGAAATCTCGAGTATCCACCCTCGTTATTCGTGGAACTTGATAACATTTATTGTATCGTCGACAAATTGAAGAAGCGTCGATGAGAAAATAAATTTCAGAGCGTTTAAACAGCCGATTGGATAATCTAAAACAATCACTGTCGGAGGGTTTCGTTTGTGTTTGCTCATTTTTTCGAGTTCATCGACTTCTCGATTGTTCTTCGCGACCCCCTTCTCTTCTAATTATTCCCAGCGCTCGCCTATCCGTTACGCGAATTCCCGCGTTTTTTCCGTCGAGGTTTAGATGGAAATAGAAGGCGCGCTCCCAGGGGCGCGGCGAAAAGAATTCTTCGCCATTTTCCACCGTCGTTTCTCCCTCCGCGGTCCGCTCCTTTTCTTTCCCTTTGGCAGTTTCGTGTCCGCGTTTGAAGCGCGTGCCGCTGCCGGCGTCAGCCATATGGTTTCCTTCCCCTCTTTATCGCCCCGTAGCAGGGTTTACCAAGCCGGGGCAATAAATATCATAACCTGAAACCCCGTGGAAGTGTTAGGCTCCCGACTTAATCCGAGCCAAAGCCGCGAAACTCGTCCCGGGGACCGTGCGTTTCTCTCCTTCGGTCCTTCGTGATCGCGTCGTCGGAGTCGCTTTGTCGCTCCGAAGCCTAATACTTTGTCAGCCTGGGATTTCGACTCGTCTCCGGGATTACTGGTCCCTGAAATATTCGTGGAATATTTTGTCACCGCGTTCTCGTCGACGATGAACCTGTCGTTGACGAAACATTCCTCGATCGCACCATCGTTCGTCGCAGGGGTTAAAGTTCTGTTCTGAACTAGGGTTGCTCGCTATCCTTTTTTTACGAGCACGATCCTTTTATTTTTAGACCAAAGGTACGATACTAAAAACTATATGCTGAGATGTCAGCTGTTTACGATACGTGCGTCGCACCGTACGAATAGTCTACGGTAAACTAGCTACCAAATAGGCCAATATTATTAATTTATTCCCAGAGATTACGTTGATTACTCTATCGTTTCCCACTTTTATTATGTCCGAAGACTAAAACGCATCAATTTCTTGCCATAAATGTTTTTGTTATGGGCCTCTGAATATAGAGGTAAACGTTAAAAAAGACAACTTCCTTTTGAAGCTTTATGGTTCTTCTTTATGCGGAATACTCCTGATCGCCGCATTCTTTTTGCCTTGCCTCGGAACACTAAGGAAACCTGGCAGATGTTTCCGAGCTGCGCTTAACTCGCCTCATTACCACGAGTCGCGTTAATGAGCTTGCGACCCTTAATACTTCACTGGGCTTCTACCCGCCCCTTCCTTTCCTACCGTTCGAATATAAACCAACTTAAGACGTAACGAAAGTCGCGATACGTTCGAGATAATCCACGAAAATCGGACGAAACGGAGCATCGACCGGTGCGTTGAACTCGGAAGCGGTCCGTTCCTTCTAAATATTTCTCGAACCAACTATTCTGGTACAGCTTCGATAAGAAGTTTCGAGGTACTTAAGGGTGCGGAAACACCTTCGCGCAGGTTACACGTAGCATTTTGAGCCAACCGGTACGAAAGTCGCACGGGTTTCCTTCCCTCGTTCGCGAGGAACAGAAAAGAACGGGCAAGGAGGAGCCAAGAGTCGTCGGAATTTCAAGAAGACCCCTGGCTGCTCGCAGACAGGCCGTAGATAAAGATAGATGCGTCGGTTTCCGGCGTGTCGAGTTAACGACTCGAGTTTTATCTGTCGGTCCTCCCTCCGTATCCCTTGTTTCTCGTCGACCGTCAGACTTGGAAAGAGGAACGAACGAAGAAGGGGAAAACAACTCTCGAAAGAGAAATTAATAATAGCTTAATTGGAGAAGAGAGGCACGGAGAAAAATATGGGCGGAAGAGAAAAAGAAAATGGAGCGGATAAACAACGAAGACGACGACGAAGCGTCCCACTCTGTTGGGTTGAATATTCGCATAAAAATCTACGCGAGAGTTTATGCAATCTCGATATACATATAGATATAATACTTCGTAGTCGATATCGAAATCGAGAGAAAGTGTCGCGATGTAAATGACCGCTGGCCGTCGAGGATTCCCTTGGAAAATTGATAAATATTTGATATAGAAAAATTGCCGTGCTTTTCGCCGAAGGATCCGCCACTCACTGTCAGCGTGACAGAGGAAACATCCGCGAGGAACTCCGTAAAAGATCAACAGTGAACAAAACGACGAGGAACCTGGTCGGAAGAAAGGAATCGTAAAGAGCGAGCAAAAGGGGTTGACGGAAAGAAAGACGCGTGGAGTGACGAAGAGAATAAAAAGGGATGTGGAGGCGATAGGAGGGAAAGAAAGAGCGCGAAGACGTCAAGGGAGGAAGGAAGAGAAGTCGGACGGCAGAACCATACTACCATACCTCGAGTCATCTGGCACTCAGCAGGATTCGAAATAGAATCGGTCTCGTTCCCTCCTCCCTCGCCTGTTATTTTTCCTCTCTGTCAGCCGTTTCTCTCCCGGAGAGTGAAAACAAAACGACGGGCAAAAAGACGTCGAGCCGACGGAGCCGACGATGTTTTCATTGTAATTACGTCCCCTGACCCTCTGGCTTCGCCTGGCCGAGCTTTTTACAGGCCTGCTACTAAGCAGCCTGTCAAAGCGTCCCAATTTTTATCCCGGATGCGTCGCTGCGGTTTTTCCACCGACTCGCTAATTTCTCGTCGCGTTGCTCTCGGTATATTTCCCACCTCCGTTAATCTCTCGACCCACTTCTTTGCCAGAACCTTGAACTATCAATTAAAACAACCCCCCCCAATAATCTACCGAGCTTTTGTAACATACGCAAACATATAAAAACCCGCGATACCAAGCTCAAGGCCCACGCGCGCATTCTCCATCGACTCGAGCAACGGCAAATTTCGCGGGAGAGTAGGGGACGCCCGAAACCGCTAATTTCATCTGGGTATCGTCTTAACGAAAAAACGAGAGGGTCTAAGAGACTCTCATCGTTTCAGAGGCGACTCGTCGCGGATTACACGACAGATCTGTTAACACGAGCGGGCAGCGTAAAGCAGGTAACGAGCAGCCAGTAATCGGGATCCGTGGACTCTAAGTAAAGTCAAACAGTCGACCCGGTTGTCTTTGCTCAGCAAACTCGCGGCGGTGCGGAGCCAATATTTAGACAGCGACCGGCTCAAACACCGTAATACGCGTTAAAACGTTATGACACGCGCCAATTGCTGTCTCTATTTCCCGTGGCCGGCGTTTGCCCACCTGGCTCTCTTGCTTTCCGACGAACGATGCTATTACTGTCAAGACGAGATAGATTCACCTTAATATAAGAGAGACGTCTTCTTCGAAGAAGAACGGGAGCAAAATTTGTCGAACGATTTCGTGAAATTCGGGTGATATCGGATACCTTCGGCACTCCAAGTCCGATCTTTCAAAAAAGGCGTCACATTTGCTGAAGCCTCGAATAAAAATCAAGAAAATAATTTTTACCCCTGTTACCCCAAATGTCGACGAAATATCGAGATCTTCAAAATTCCTTGATTTCCACGAGTTTTCCACGGCCTCGGAGAAAGTCTCCAAGCGCTTGACCTTGGCAGAGAGTTCCTCCAGCTTCTCGGAGGCTCTCGCAGCTGTAGAGAGGCGGCTCGGCGAGTTTCGAATAAAGATCTCAAGCCACCTGACGTTCTCCACGATTCCTCGAAGAATCCTGGGGACGCGCACGCGCGAAGAGATCGTCGTAAAGAGGCACTAACGATGCACCGGGCGAAGAGAATATCTTTGAAGGTACGAGACACGCGCCATTTCCCGATGATTCGAGCGTGGCGAATGGCCGTCAGTCAAAACGCGAGCCGCGAGCACTTCGTGGCCCCGTCTCTTCCTCTGTGCTGCTCTGTCTTTTGGACAACCGGAGCAAAACGCGACTATCTTCCCAGACATCGGCCTTACGAAGCGATTTTCTATGGGCTCGATCCTGGAACCCTGCGTCGTAAAACGAGTCTACCCTCTGCTCTTCTTTGACCTGTTTGGCGCGTAAGCACGCATGGAAATCTCCTTAGTTTATTTCTGCGAGACGAGCTACTCGTTCTGTAGATGGACGTGCGAAGAAATATTGCTATTAATATTTTCGATCTAATAAGAATAAGAAACACGAATAAACCTACCACGGTAAACCCTACACATACTCTTCGATTCGTCGAGAGACTCTCATCGACGGTTTCTGTGGTTCACTTTTATTCGAAAGTCTCGTAAAAAGAGAAACTGTCTGGGAAACAAGCCCGCCATTGGTAGGAGACACCTGTTCCATCCTCAACCGCGCAAAAATAGAGTCTTTGACGAAGAGACGCGCGCCATTTGTCGCGGCTTTGAGCGTGTCGCAGTTTCATTCGTCAAACGGGCGTTCGTCTTTTTGTATCGTCCTTTCGAGATGATTAATCTGTTATCCGAATTATGTCTCTCTTCCGCGAAACGTTCTATGCTTCTTTAAACGGTTTCCCAGTAGAAAAAATACACGCGTTGTCCGATTGCAGTGGTATTTCTGTGGCCTCCGTTCCTTCGCGATTTCTTCCTCCTATGTTATTACGCGTAGGCTGCCGATTCTTCGATATTCGGTTGAAAGATGTTGTAATTTTCCAGATTGCCCAGCAGCACGACGGCGATTGGCAGTGCAGCCACCGGCGGCGGTGGCGGAGGGAGCGGCGGCGGTGGCGGAGGCGGTGGGGCTGCTGGGAACGGGACTTCCGGCGGTGATTTTCTCCGCAGAAGTCACCCCCTCTCGGAACATACGGCCCTGCGTCCCACCTACCGGCTCAACTACATGGACCACCTTTACCACCAGCTTCAGGCCTCCACGCACAGTCCCAACGCCTCGTTACACGGTAATTACCTTGGCTTGTACCTGTCCCGAGATAATTAGAACGATAGCGGCCTGGGACGTCGCCTAATTTCGACAACGTCGCCCGAACAGCTCGAGGTTTATTCGCGTATCGAGGAGCTGGATAGATCTCGAGAACCTTTTCAACTAAAAATATCACTTCTTTTGCTTAGTTTAACAATATCACGGATCCTGCACAAACGATTCTTCTTCCGACCATATTTTTTAAATACCGCAACGAGTGCCTCTTCGAGCGATCGATTTCCTCGTATCGTCGTTGTCTTTCCTCTGATAAATGCAATAAAGGAAGCATCGAGAGCAGCCTGTATATCGTTCCACTTGGATATCGAGCTCCGTGAAAAGGGCCCGCATTTCCGCCGGATGAATCTCTTTGGAAATCGAGCTCTTTGAATTGGACCCGGTGTACGATATAACGCTTCCTACTCGAGAACAGAGTTGTAGTTATCGTTAGGCGGAACCTATTCGCTATCGTTGATTTTAATAATTGTTCCTTTCTTTTTGGTACTTTCAGGACTGGGTGGTTTGGGGCCCGAGTACCTTCTCCACGCCGCGGGACCAGCAAGCACTCTTGCTTCCACTGAATTCCCCTTCTCCATTGACGGTAAGTTCTTTCGCACGAAAGATTTTTAAAAATCTAGTTGGAGACACCGTGTCCCCAGATTTCGACGAAGAAAATTGATAATTCTTTCGGTGGTTCGATCGAGGACGACAAGTGAATTTAATGAAAGATCCTGATGCACGTTACGCGCGGCTAGCCGTAGGTGTAGTAGCACTAGCAGCAGGTAGGAGATCGACCGGTTAAGAGGCCGAGAGGCTAAAAGACGACTGAAAGGGTAAACGGGGCCTCGTTAGTCGCCACCACCGCATAATTGAATCGACTCGGAGCGACACGACCTCATTAACACCTTAGCGCCTACTCTACAGGTTGTCTCACGTTTCTTCTTCTTCTTCTTCTTCTTCTTACTTCTCCTCCTTCTATTGCTCTGCTTCTTCATCTCGGTCTTCGGTTCCTGTTTTTCTTCTATGTACTAGTCATTTGATCGAATTACGCGTCGATAAAACTCTCCATCGAAGTTAATCGAACTGCCACGGTGCTCGTTGAATCAGAGTCTGTTGGAAGATCCGATCTCGAAAGCATTTTCGCGCGGAGAACAGTTGGGATCTACGAAGAAACTCCTGGGATCGTGATCCATATGATTTTCCTATCGTTTGATTCCTAGATATTTGATCACGCACCCTTATAAAAATCATCGGAGTCGATGAAAGAGTTCGATTAGAACTTCTTATCAAAGAATTCGTGACGTATGATCTGTTCCTCCCCGTCGAGTCGTTTAACTAACATCGAAGATCGGTTCTGAGAAAGCTACGAAATTGTATAATTAAAGGACATCGATTTTTATCGGACCACGATAAATCTGCGACGAGCCATTCGGAATCATCGCGGATTGGTCGTTTGAAGCAGCCTGTAGCGCGGTAGCATGCGCCGAGTAGCGTCGAATGAGCCGCGCCGATCGGAGTGGCCGATTGCACCAATTTACATGTCTCAATCCCATGTTAGCCCCGCGAGGGGCACGGGGACCGGGGGATTGGAACGTACGGAGCGTGTAGAGTCCAGAGGGTCGTGGGTCACGAGGACGCTCGGGATGAGGGGAGAGGGGTCCCTGAGAATCGTTCGCATATTCATTAAAGACTCCGAGGTACCTTCGACGAACAGACCAACCCCCTGCATTCAGCAGATAAGGGGATCTATCCTCTCTACCTCGAGGAAAAAGTGCATCGAGAAATCACGCCGAGCCAGATAGCCAGTTGCGTGAGCTGCTGGTGCAAGAGCGAGCCTTAACGCCAGCATTAATCGTCAAGTACAACGAATGTACATAACACTTTTGATTCTGGTTTAGTTTTATTCATTTTATGGCGCCCCTATAAGCTCGGGTACCTCGGGATCGCTAAGCCCGTACTGTAGCTACAATCTGTAAGAAATAGCTGGTCGGCATTCGTGGACACGCGCGAACATTCTCGCTCTTTTATCTAAAAGCATTGTAAGAGAGTTTCGCGTCGTCGACAGCCGACGACGTACAGTCAGTCGCACGACCGATTTTGAGCAAGCGTCGATCGTAATAAAGTTCATTCCCAAAAACACGTCTTACAAATCAAACATAGCTACAGCCCCTGAGGGCTACCAATCATTAGTACAATTGAAAGTATCGCGATGCAAGGAATAATATAGGAGCAAACCAAGAATATCTGTACAAGAATTTTGCCCAACTCTGCGTGAAAGTCTCGGTCGAGTGGACAGAAAAGATACAAAGTTTACGGGAACCGCAAACGAGCGGTGTACGTAAGAATGTCGTAGCGTTACAAGAATAAGAACCCCGAAAGTGATGCACGAGGAAGAGCCGAGACGATCGAAACGACCTCGATCCTGCCACGAGACCCGCCGAGGAACCTTAAACGATCCAGCTCATGCGGAAAAACCGCATGGCAGCCGTTTTCCGTCTCTCTCGCGCGTCTGTTCGCTCGTTGACCACCGTAAATTTGATCAGTGCTCGAATTAATAACCAGCGAGGGGATAAAGGAGCGCGTTCGCGAGAGGCGAGAGGGAGACGAGAAAGAAGCGGGGCCCCGACCGCGAGTAATTCTATACCCGTTGTGCGCGAACGAGCGATCAACCGAGTGGAAACCGAGGAGAAAGAGCTGGTTCGAGCCTCCTCGTGGCTCTGTATCGCGTTGCTCGTGTGAGACGACACGAGGAGATAGAGGAGCCCGAGAAATAGCGAGGGAGTCGAAACAGAGAAGGAGGCTGAACGACGAGAAGCGAGACAGTCGAGGGACCCTACAGCCAAATATCAAGAGTGGAGGAGGATCGTGTGAGAAAAAAAACTGGTAACGCTGTTGCAGAATTTACCCTAGTTTCGAACGTGTCGGATTATCATGACCTGAACAGTCGCGAGTTTTAACAGAAAATGTCGGGATTGAAACAAACTATTCTTTAACAAATTCCATGGGAGATAAATAATGAGATTCAGTCAACGCTGTACTGTAACGAAAAAATACGGCGAAAGATTGAAAATTTTCGTTAAGGAAGAGAAGAACCGAGGAAGCTGGCGCGTCGACGAGGGAGCGAAGCGAAGCGAGGCAGAGAAGCGGAGAACCGCCACCATATAACCAACGATGGTCTGTACAAGCGAGCCGCCACCACGAGCTTAAGAAAGTGGTTTGTATATTACGTCGTTGGCCTGCGGTCGCAGGCAAATCGCCGCTAAAACGCTCTGGCCGCAGAATCGTCCTTCTCTCTCGCTCCTCTCTCGTCTTTTTTGCTCTTCCCGCGTCTCCTTCGCCTTCCCTGGTCAGTTCTGGATATCTACCTGGTTACGAGCACGCTCCGAAAGGTGAAATTTTTAAATTCCCGTCCGCTCGCTGGAATATTCCCTGGTACTACGAGCTACAAGAATTCGTAGCGCTTAATTGAACTGGTACAACGACCTCGTCGTCGGTTCGAGTGGACATTTGCGTAGCCGCTCGCTAAATATGCGTCGAGAATCGATGTTTCGATGCTAACCTTCGTGCGTCTTTTTGGCGGAATTCCACGCACGTGAAATGTTATTATCGAGAAGTGAATCGCGTGGTTTGTACCTCGAATCTTCGAGACTTGCACGGACATGAAACTACTTCCCGAATTGTTCGCTCGTAAATGGAACACCGACGTTTCGTTTCTCGTGGGTTGTTAATAGATATATAACTTCTTTATTTTTTTTTTGGAATATCGCCATCATAAAGAATGGGATGTTTGTTTTCAGTGTCAGCGTCATCGAGGCTAGGAAGTCCAAGAGCCTCGACGATCAGAGCGAGCCGAAAACGGGCGCTGAGCAGTTCGCCGTACTCCGATCGCTTCGACATCGACAGCATGATCAGATTCAGCCCGAACAGTCTGGCCTCCATCGTGAATGGATCCCGCAGCAGCAGCGCGAGTGGCAGTTACGGTCATCTTTCTGCCGGTAAGCAATCGTTTAGGTATTATTATTGCCGCGCCAGTTCTCCTGTCAAACTCATTGAAATATTTCCCGGTCGAGATTTACCGTCTAATTAATTAAACGCTCACCGAGGAAAGAGCGGCGTGAAAGGAAGTCAAACTCGAACGGTCTTTGGGCGTGTCGTCGAATCGAATCCCGGTGCAATTTTAATAATTGCCCGAGCAGATCGTTTGGGCCCCGATTACTCATTTCTCGGCTGTAAATTTAACCGCGTCGAGTCCACGTGGAACACCTGTGCCGCGTAATTATTCGTTCTCCTTCCATGGAAGTCGCGAGAGAGACGTTACGAACGATTTACACTGAGAATAAATATCCTGGTAAATCGCGAGGGGCGGGAGAACGTGCAATTAAGAGATCACCCGCGCATGATACCCACCGAAAACGTAAGTCACCGGTGTTTACCTGGGCGCAGGCGCATTTTCACCGTGCCCTGCGCAATGATTGATTGCTCGTAATTACCGACGCCGTCCTGTAAGCTCGTCGTCGTCGGCGGCGATGGTGGCGGGAATCGGACCTCGACGCAGCTATAAACGTTTCGCGCGAGATACGCGATACGTGAATTATACGCGTGTAATTACACGTGTACCCGGCCAGAGGTTGTTAATGCCACCACCGCGTAACACCGATATTTCCCGAGTTATTGCGGTTACTGCAGCGACGAATAAACGAAGCTCGTAAACAGCGCGTGCGCTCACACGCACAGGTTCCCTCGCGGAGGAAATAAAGTATCCTCTCTCGCTGGATAGAAGAGAATTTGCAAGAATCGCACGTTTAAAACAAATACAAGTTTCGCGTGATCTCGGTGACAGGAGTGACTCGATGTAATCCTCAGAAAACGAGCGACATATATCTCCTCGATTCGTCTTTCGCTTTAATTAGTTTCATATTCAAAAATACGATCGCTTAAGATTGTACAGTTTCACCCGTTTTACAGCTTCTTGGTCATCGATGTAACGAACCACGTTCAATATCCATCGAGTCTCGTCCCCGATCGCTGGGTACCGTTCCCAACGATTTTGCATAATTCCCTTTAATATTATTAACACAGGCGGCCCCAGGTCGTATATCATTTCCCCGTCCATGCAACATCTCTAACATCGATCGTAAAATGACCGCGGTATCGGAGGCGTTGTTTCTCAGGAAAACCGGGTTTCCAGGGGCCATATTACCATAATTACACGGACCTATACGAAACGGATAAAGTCATTGTCGGTGAGCGTTAACGCGGGGGCCTCTCGTCCTCGTAAGGATCAGGTCCTGACGTTTAAGGGCGTGTAGAATGGGCCCGAGAGAGGCGGTGGATGGTCAGCGGGGAGGGGGGGGCAGAGGGGGCCGTCGAATTAAGGTGCCGGTGCACATGAAGCCATTATAAGATCCGGCTGCAGCACGAATCGCGGTGCGTCCCACAAATCGGCCAGACCTCCTTGCTCGCGAGTTAAGAGCAGCCGGTAATTTGCGATTAAATGAAGTAATTAACGGATTAAAATTCAAGCGACGCGACGCGCCGCGATCGCCGGTCGTTTGTCGGCTCGGCGTCGCACGATACCTCGCAGAACGTTCCCGCTCGTTATTTGCTTGCCGCGCGAGTACGACGTCGTCGCCACAGTCCTCTTTCTTCCCACACCGCGATACCGGATTAATCGAAAAGTGTTCATTGTATAATCCGTTCGGTGGCAAAGTTTCAAATGTGTAGTAAGGTAAGTACCACCGGTTGCTCCCTTTCCTTCTCTCGTGTTTTATAGAATCGCCGCTTCTAATTAGGCGGGTTCTCGTCGAATTGGGAAAAAATTGATGCTAATTAAAAACGTGTCAAAGTTTCTGGCTCCTTGATTTTCTTTCTTCGATTTCTCTAATGCGAAATTACACGATATTCTGATAATCCGATCCCGAGATTTAAAGCCTGTAAAGCAGACTTCCCACGCTGCATATAAAACCGACAGCGTTCTCGCGGTTTATTAAATTTTGCATACGTCATTGACGGTGATGCACGGAGAATGTCAGGTCGGTGATTAAGCGATTATCGTTCCGCTTACGAGAAGGTAGCCGGTTTTCTCCCCGGTAGACTATCGATTCCGCAAAATAATAGTCTTCCTAAATAATGGAACGTAGGCGTTTCCATCGAGCATTCCTCGGTTTATGTTCATTCGAATTGCTATGAGCGATCAATGCGCCGTGAGAAATACTGCTTGACGCGCGTTTTACAGTCGCGCGCGTAAAATGCGATTTTTCTATCATTTCCAACGCGCCTCGAGCAAAGAATGGAACGTAAACAACGCGATAAACTTGGCGATGGCAGCAGGAATCCTCTTTGAATCCCGAAAACCGATAGCTTCCCGGAGTTTCACGAATCTGTAAAATCTGTTAACGATTTCATCGAGCTAACCTCTTCTCTATAATAGAAATGTCGTATTAAAACGTAGTCTCGAAGCCAACGTACGTTTCAGCGTACAACAGACGCGAGGATGTTAACAAGTTATTCGAGAATATTATCTAGGTAAGAATGTTGCCCATCTTCGACGTTAATAGATGGTTTTGAAACGAGACACGCTGCGCTGCTAATCGCTAAGCATCCGTGGGCACGCAACGTGCTCGCTTTTATGAACCACCGCCTATAGAACGTGGACTCGCATGGGCGTGACCGGTCGCCTAAGTAAGTACTTTGGCGCACGTACGTGATGGCACCCTGAATGGGGCTTGATTGCATCGCTCATAGAACCTTCATAGACTACTAAACGTTGTCGTGATTCCGAATGGGAAACACTTCGGCTTGGGATAGTTCGGGTCGGTAGCTGTGAAAATCCTCTGCTAAGGAATTCCGTTAACGTCGGCGACAAACTGTCAGATTTTGAATTCTACGTTAAAATAAGTGATTCGTATCGCTGTCTTCGTCACGGCCATTACTTTTCTTGTGAATGACGTAATAGTTTGTACAATTATTTTAAAAAGCATGGAAGTAAATTTCCAATAAAGTATTGTGCTCGATAACGGGAACAACTTGGCGAACGCGTAGCTAAACTGTGAAGAGTCTATTTGCTCGAGAAAATGTTAAAAATTTTATACGTGAAAGTAACAATAACGTCTAATGGAACGAGATGCCTTAAGACAAATCGAGACAAAGGGGAAATTCTGTGCGGGAGATGCAAGCTAGGCTCCGCGCGGAACGATCGTTAAGGTTCGTAGCAATGGTGCGGCTCGCCGCTTACATCGTGTACTCGCAATAATGCACGGATGTGTGAAGTAAATAGAAACAGGAAGGAGCGGTACAGCTGCCTATTTAGCGTACAAGAAGGCGCGCGTCAATGGAGCAGAAATATTATCGAAGCTAATTTATAGACCGTCGATAGGGGCAGTGGCGGTGGAGGCTTCAATTAGAAGGAAGCGTGATTCGAAAGCCCGTCACGTATCGCACCGACAAGACCATATTGAACCCGTGATTAATTTAGCCACGGTAATTTATCGAACAAACTCGCCGCGTTGCCTACAGTGAGTATCGATATTTTATCGCGTAACAAGCCACTGTTGTTAAACTACAACTTAACTCGACCCGATTGCATCCAAGTACCAACGACTTATAGTATCGAAATCACGCGTCGAACCGAGGGAGTTCAACGCACGAGAAGAAAAGAGCAACGAGGCACGCTCGCGTGGAAAATGCAAGTAACGCTCAACGCGCCTCTCATTGTACCCGACGATTCCCCTCGATTTATAGTAAATTCGTATCTGATGTTTCGTATGGTCTTTGTATGATATTTTATATTATAATCCGAATAATTGCATCGACAGTTGAAAAGCCGATACGTTCGCTAAACTTGCACGCGACGTTCACCCCTGTGTTTATAAATGTCTTTCTTAAGTACGAGCGTTCATCGAGTCGCTTATCGTGTCGGATACTCGCCGGAGGGAACACGACACAGTCGCGGCCTACACGATCACTATAGCTTTATGGTTTCGTAAGAGGGACCAGGGGGACTTCGCTATTGAAATGCAAGCTTAGCCTACGTGCCGGAAGTCCGGCGTGCCGTGCTCCGACTATCAAGAGAATGGACGCGGTCCGATTCCGATCTCTATCGATTATCCGCGCGTATCGCCACCCCCGTCCCCGTTCGTGTTAACTATTAAACGCTATGCGATGCTCGTCGCTTACGTTGCGTTCGACAACCGTGTAGTTGGACCCAATCTCTCGCGATCGAGCGAATAATTTGCCGCTCGAGGAATTTTTTTATCCCGTACACCTTACACGGTGTCGGCTTTCGATCTACAGGCGTAGATACGTTTCGGTCGTGGCTGAATATCCAAAGAGATCTTTCTACGGTAATCGTAATTTCGTTTTAACTATACATTTTATTTTGTTTCAGCGATGAGTCCAACTCTGGGAATGCACCCAGGTATGGCACCGCACTTGCAGCAGCTACAGGCCCATCTTTTGAGGAGCGCAGCTGCAGCGGCGCTTTTACCCCATACGCATCCCTTGCAGCCCCATGCACCCCCTCCCCCACCGCCTCATCCGCACCACCATGCTCACGGATTATCGCCCCATACGCAATTGTACCCTGGCGTGCCACCTCATTCCACGGCGTCGACGGCTCTGGGCCCCCACGGCGGAGGGTTGCCACCGAAATCCGAGGTGGGTAAAGGGATTCAATTATTTTTCGACGAGATAAACCCGCGAAGGTACATATTACCCTATCAAAAATCAGGACGAATACATTCCAGTAACGAACGTCGAAGGTATGCGCCATAAAATAGCAGCCGGGATAATTGGAATTAACGAAACGTGACTATTTTCTTCGACACATCAACGTACCATGGGATCAATGCAGAAAGCATCGTAAATTACTACTCGGCGTAATTACCATCCACACTTCGGTGCGCAATCGGTGCATCGTCAATTATGCAAAGGCGCGATGAATCTTAGCTCGCGTGCGTCTCGCATGATACGCGCGTATCGCAGGATGCGACGCGTACACAGGTGCCTGTCGGATTGTTAGTGGCAGCTCGGGTAGCGATGTATGCCCGGTAGCTCGTCATCGATTCATCGAGAATAAATAATCGCAGCCTCTCGACTCTCCCTCCTCCCATTCGACGACGAGACCCCTCGACTTCGTTCGCATCGCAGCGTCATTCAAAGCTTGAGCATACGTTCTCCTGTAGAGAAATTGATGTGGGTAACGTTGGATACCGATGGACTCGAGTGATAATTGGTTTACGTCACTCCCTCTCGCGATTTCCGGAAAAAACGTTAAGAGTGCGTAATTTTTCTCTAGAGAAGAGGACTCGGGCTCAGAAGTGACGCGAGAGTGGGAGAAAAGGAAGACGAAGAAAAACGGTTGGGTTACCCTCGCATGGTCCTCGGGTTACAAGCAATCTCGCGCACATTATTTCGCCAGATTCCACCCCCATCCTTGCCCACCTGACCACTGTCTTTTATCTTTTTCGTCCGTTGCTTCCACTTCTCCTTCCACTCTTTCTTCTCCGCGCTGCTGTGCCCCTTTTTTTTCTCTCTTCGACGTCGTTCTTAATCGTGTTCTCCCCGTTCCGCTGTCTCTGCTAGCCTCTTCGCAACTCTCTCTCTCTTCGTCTCTCTCCTCCTCCAGCATTTCTCCAGGTTGCTCTGATTTATTTGCATCCGCGGCGGCGTTTTCATTTTCTTCCCTGCGACATGACTCGCCGTGTGTCCGCACGCTGTAAAGTTCCCGGAGCCTGATTGCATCGGCTTGCATTTCGCTCGTTGCGCTCTCGCGGTTGTCGTCGTGCCCCGATGCCGATTCGCGTTTCCGTGTGCGCCGCGGCACCGTGCACGCTCGTTCCCACCGGTGATCGATGGATTTATAGGGTCGTCGTAATCGAGAGGTTCCCCTGGAGAGCGGACTAGACGCACGGTTCGGCTCGGGTTTCGAACCTGAACTCGAACCAATAACGTTCCTATCGTTGCGATCGGTCGTCGCTTAAGATTTATTAACGCTGGCCTCGGTTCGATGGAAAATCGACCTCTACGTTAATTGCATTTTCTAGAACCTTTATATAGAGATAATATAGATCGCTTTCTTGGTGTTTCGCAATTCAGTGTTTCTCCGTGTAATATTAATTACATCCTTTAAATCTTCAAGTATCAAAGTTACGTTCTCGAAACAAGTGGTAGTTGATGCGTGTCTCTGGGTCAACGTTTCTAGTATCAACGCGAAGATGTTCCCTCGTGCGCGGTCGAAGAGTCCGCACCGAATACGTTGGGAATAACAAGCCCAACGTTACGGTTCGTTCCGTGTTCCTCGTTTGTCAAGCCGCGCCACCCGCAGTCTCTGTTTCGCCCTCAGCGAATGCTGCGTACACGACCGAAACGTAGACGGGAATATTCGAAGTTATGTCTATATCAGCACACGGACCGTGAGGCCGCCGAAGGAACGTTTTACGACGACCCGATGCGATCGGTCGAATCGGTACACCCCATACGGTACGCGATAATTGCAAGATCGCGTGCCGATCGTGTGTCACGACGCGGGCTTCGCTCTCTCGCACGAGCGGCGTGTTTGTTTTAGAAAATCGCTAGCCCAGTGTCGAAGATCGCCGATATTGTTGTCTGAATTCCGAATAGCGATCAAATTAATACCGCGGAACGACGATACCGGATGCTATCGGTTCCATGTAACTCCGTCGCTACCGGTTCGAAGCGACGGTGTTATTCCCATCATGGAAATCAGGATTCGACGCGAATCGCGATTGCGATTACTGTATAAAAACGTTATTATATGTGAAACTCGTGGTCTGTGATTTTTCTACAACTCCTACTATTTTTTACTAACCTAGATGAATTCTTTTACCGTTATTCTTCGTGTTTCACTGAATAGTATAAGTTACCGCATCCGTACAAATATTAATTCCAATTATCTCTAAGATGCAATATCAATCTTAAATCTATAGCCAGTGCCCTCTACGGGAAAACGCCCAAGTTTGTAGAGAAATGCGGATACTGCAGATACCTATCCGCATTGTAAAAAACTGCTTTTATGGAAAATCAAAGTAATAGTAGAAGAGTGTAATATGTAGATAAATAATAAAAATATGAATATAGAGAAATTTAATCGTGTTCCTGCTCGATCAGAGCGCCGAGTCTTGCAGAAAAGCGTCGGAATCGTCGACCAGGTCGGTGACGGCAGAGGCGGACACCTCCTCGAGGAGAGCCTCGACCAAAGTGAAAAGGGAACCAGCAACCACTACCACGAATACGACGACAACGACCGCACCGCCAACTCATCCTCAGGGACTCAGTCCTAGCGAGGACCTTCGAGACGAACCTGGTGACTTCATCGAGACGAACTGCCACTGGAGAGACTGCGGCCTCGAGTTTCCAACCCAGGTGAGCATCGGAAGCTTTTCATATTTTTCGGAGTGGCCTGTCCGCAGTTTTCGTTAATTACCTTCTTCAATGTAGGACGATCTTGTAAAACACATCAACAACGACCATATCCACGCGAACAAGAAGAGTTTCGTTTGCGGTTGGGAGGAGTGCTCGAGGGAGGAAAAACCTTTCAAGGCTCAGTACATGTTGGTCGTGCACATGAGAAGGCACACTGGCGAAAAACCCCATAAGTGTACCGTAAGTGCATCAACCTTTCATAAAAAATCCTTTAACAACGTATCGTGACAATTTCGACTAACGTGCTACCTTTCGATTGCAGTTCGAGGGCTGTTTCAAGGCGTACTCGCGACTGGAAAACTTGAAGACGCATCTGAGATCTCATACCGGCGAGAAACCGTACACGTGCGAGTACCCGGGGTGCAGCAAGGCGTTCAGCAACGCCAGCGACCGCGCGAAGCATCAAAATAGAACTCATTCTAACGAGGTGAATGTTTTTACCACGAAGAAAATATAGTACGGTGGTGTTGAAAAAGTACGTCACTTTACCGTAATAATGTTCCAGAAACCCTACGTTTGCAAAGCGCCAGGCTGCACCAAGAGGTACACCGATCCCTCGTCCTTGAGGAAACACGTGAAAACTGTCCATGGTGCAGAGTTCTACGCCAACAAGAAGCACAAAGGCGGTGGCGGAGATGGCGGAGGTAGCGACGAAGCTGGTGCAGGAGGCAACAGTCCCAGCAGAAGCGAGGACCTCCATCCCAAGACGCCCAGTTTGTCCAGTCCAAGCGTCAAGTCCGAAAGCGAGGCTAACAGTCCACCCAGCATGATGCAACAACAAGGTAGTCCTTTGGTCGGTGGCTGCAACGACGAGGTAACGGGTGTCGGGACGTTGACGAACGAGGGCGTGTCGCTCGCCGAGGAACCTTGGAACGAAGAACCCGACGACCTGGACATCGCTGATCTGCCGGTTGCGCTTCGAGCCATGGTGAGTGTAGAACAGTTAAAAAGTTTATCATAGATTGTCATAGATTGTCCAAAAACGATGTATCCTAAACGTTTACCTCTTAACGATGTCGTTTGAAATCCCGAAGTCAATTTAACTCGACTGTCCACAGGTTGGTGGAATGGAGTCACAGCAGCAACAGGCTCCAGCACCCGCATCCAGGAACCGTCTGAAGGGAAGATTGCACGCCAAGGGCATGTCAGGCCTGTCCGTCGTGCCTGGAATGAGAGGAACGCGTGGCGTGGGTCCTCAGGGTAACATCGGTGATTTGAACAGAAGGATCACAGACCTGAAAATGGAGGGCGGAGGTCCCGCTCGCCAAACAAGTCTGGCGGATCTGCAGCTGAGGCTGCAACCTTTAAACGAACCGCGAAGAGACAGCAACAGCACCGTGAGCACGTATTATGGTAGCATGAAGTCGACGGACTTCTGCAGCAGAAGGAGCAGCCAGGCTAGCGGCGTTAACGCTGGAAGGATCGGTCACGCCGGCCCCGGAAGCTTTTATGATCCGATCAGTCCAGGCACGTCCAGAAGAAGCAGTCAGTTGAGTACCACTTCTGGCAGAATGAATCCTCCGAGTCATCTCCAAGGCCCCTACTTAACGAGCAACCTTGTCGTTCAAACGCAGAACATGTCCCTTCAAGTAAGTTTGCAGCATTTCAGAACAATATCGCGCGTTTATAAATCGTTCAAGCTTTCGATGCACGTGTAACACCGTCTACTTACTTCAGGGTATTCAGGGTACACCGGGAGAATGGAACGGTTCGAGTGGTCATTGTACGCAACCGTCCGGTGATCGTCGTATGTCCGAACCTACCAGAGGTCAGCAGGTTCAAAGAAACTCACCACTGGTACCACCTAGGCCCAGGTCGGTTCAACTTCCGGAGTACCATCCCAATCAAGAAGTTATCTTGGACGAAGTTGGAGAAGGTGAAATGGTGGAGAACAAGCTGGTCATTCCGGACGAGATGATGCAATATTTGAACCAGGTACGTTTCTTCGCGTATAATCGAAACTGTAGTTTGTTTCGTTTAATCACGAGCCTGTAACGACGATCTAAATGCATTTGTTTCAGGTTCAGGCAGGTGGAAGCCAGATCAGCTATCGCAACAGTCCCTTACCGCTCTGCCAATCTCCGATATGTAGCAATCCTTTGCACTGTCAACGCCAAATGCAACCCACGTGTAATTACAGTCCGTCTCATCAACAAAATTGTTATCCGTCGCAACCGCTGAGCCAACCATCTTGCACGAATTACCAGAACTCCTCTCCGTCCCCTTACAGCCAGTGTCCGAGCTCTCGACCTGCTCAGCCCAATCCGCAATATTGTCCTCCTCCGAACTATCCGTCTCAACCGAATGGTGGCCAAGTGCTTAGTCCAGCAGCGGGTCAGGTCATGTCACCCGGATCTCATTACGCCCCCAGCCACATCAGTGATCAACCGTTGACGTCGCCGGCGGCAGGAGCCTTGGCACCTCAACACGCTCCTCAGAATCTTCCCCAGAATTCTGCTCAATTAACCAGGAACTGTCCCCAGACTCATATACATCATGGTTACTATCCAGGTTACAGTTGCCAGGGACAGATGAACGCAAACTGCGCCGGAAATCCGAATGGTCACGCGAATCACCACACGAATGTCACCTGTCTCCCGGCGAACCACACTGCGATGGGACAGCAGCAATGTGGCCAGCTGCACGCAGCAACCAATTGCCCACAGTTGTCGCCGCACTGCACCCAGTCACCTGTTATGCCTAACCAACAGACCATCGGCCATCCTAACTCGCAGTGTGGTCAAACAGGCAGCCAATGTACCAGGCCGATGGTGACGCCCAATGGTCAGATGTCCGACTTCCATTCTGGGCAACAGACCACGGTGACGAATCAGTGTCCTCAGTTGTCGCCTCACTGTTCTCAGTTGACCATGAACAATCAGACGAAGCCGATAGCCAACATGTCCGGTGGCCAAGGTTGCCCTCAACAGCCGATGTCTCCCTGCCTCCAGATGACGAACTGCACTCATTCCAATGGTGGCCATCGACCAGCCGTGGACAACGCTCTGTCTAAAAGAACATCACCGCAGTTGTGCACCGTTCAACAAACTAACTGTAGGGTGCAACACCAACAACATACCTGCACGCACAATTGCCAGGCTCGCAACAATCCTCCGAGTCATCAACAGTACAGTTGCAACTGTCAATGGAGTTACGGTAGCGACCAATGTTATCACGAACACGGGACCCCCATGCCTGAGATCCAGTGTCGAGACATCAGCCAGTCTCAGCAAGGTTCTCCCATGAAGCCACCGCAGGGAATGAGACAGGACTCGTACAGAAGAACGCTGGAATACGTGCAACAGTGTCGAAATTGGTCAGGGAATGCGCAGACTCACGAGACGAATGTTTCTAGTTCTACGCATCCGATGTCGCTGCCGCAACCGCTGCCTTCGAGCGCGAACATGGTGGTGAACGATATGACGTCGTCCCTCAGCTCGTTGCTAGAGGAGAACAGATACTTGCAAATGATCCAGTGAACGGGTACACATGTATAAATATTTTTCTACCGTAATTTTTCTACGAGCATGCACAAGAAAGCGGTTTAATCGTAGTCGGTGCAAGATATCGAGACCAATTTAGACTTTTGTATTTTTGATAAAGCGAGAGGTTTTTTTTTCTGTAGAGACAGATGTATTTTGTATCGTACCGTTTAAGGGCCCATCGTAGCCGACACTTAAATTAATTTAGCGGAATTGTAGACTGTGACCTCACACGGATGACATTCTCGGTGATTAAGTAATCGTGGTGATACCTATTGTACGAAAGAGTTCGAATGTGTTATCGACGTTAATGCTATTATTGTTTATAAAAGTCTAATATTTTATACGAAATTTACGAAAGTTCGAGGTGCCTTAACGAAGAGCTAATCGCGCGGAGCGACCGCGCGGAATAATTTATTTTCGGAGAATTGTATTTAAGGGGGAACGATAGAAGTTTATATGCTAAATTTATATACTAAACGTATTAAACCGTCAGGCTTACGCGCGGGAGAAGCACGTGTTCCGTGCTGCGTCAAGGTTATAATTTTGTATTATTAGAACGAAACGTTTCGTCTGTCGTGATAACGCTGGCGAACGCAAAACAATGTTTTTATCAGGGATCGCGAAATATTTTTAAAAAAATCCGCGTGTTTCTAGATAGACCCTTGTACCGTATTTTTGTGCAACCAGTCCTTCTTTCAATCGTGCCAACACAGTACTCCTCGTGTCATTGTAGGTTTGTCTGATTTTGTTAGCGTAACGACGAACGGTGCACTACGTGTACTGCGATACGAAGTAGTTTACAACGTTATACACTAGTTTTCTTTTTATGGTATCATCTACTGCGAATGAGATTAACCGATCAAAAGATTACGTAAACGGAAAGGCCAATACTAGGATGTAAGATCTGTAGATAAATCTTAATGTAATAAATCATTAGAGATTACGGACAGCGTGCGTGGTAAACTTAGACAATCATCTTGCGCGGGTGCTTAGCGTGCGTGTGTGTTTGTAGGATTGAGTGTCTTTCATAAAAATCACTGTAAAGAGACGTAAGGTAGTCGCACAAACTTGTTATCCGATTCGATCGGTTCAACCGACCGAAGCGATCCGAGAACCTCTTTTTCTTAATATACGTCGAGTGCCTTTCGAGATCGTCGTCGGACGACGAACAGCGCGTAGAGGAGTCGAGAACTTAGCTGCACCTATAGCTGTTTTCGTCACACAAACGATTTTGTAGGATTTTATTAATTCACGATAGCGAAGTCGGAGGAGTCTTGTGAATATTATACATATCTATGATATACATATAGTGATAGCGACTCGTTGCGCGTTCGAGTGTGCGAACGGGAAGGCGCATGACGAGAAAATTTTACATCCTGAGAACTGTTAATTATTTGAAAATAAATCATACCGATCCCATCAACGAAACACTTCCAACGCAATCACTTTTATTCTCGTCCATGATAGCTTCCATTTGTAATGAAACCAAAGTATCGTTTATTTATACAGCACAATTAGTAGGTACAATCGTAGAAGGTACAAAACCGGAACGGATTCGTAAGTGATCACATTTACCTCCGCAGTTAGGAACAACAAGAAATTACTTATACCGATATAAACGATGACACATCGATAATAAAAATACCATACCACTGAAAAATGTTTCGTAAAAAGTTCGATAGGTTCGAACCGACGCGACGAGACGGGTTTAAACGAAAACGATTCGTTGCCGACTCGATTAATGATTTCTGCGACGAGTCCAAATACTTTGACTCATCTTAATTATTACATAATGCCTGTTTACGTACAAAGTCGACACGTTTCTTGGATCGACGCACAGTCAACGTCTGACATACACATGTTTCTGTCGTCGACGAAAATAAACGTCGAGTAATGTTTCTTCGTACAATGAAAATCGTGGGCATCTCAAGGCGCGTTATCCGACGGTGATGCGTTGGAACTCGAGATGAGCTTATTGGAATTTTCAGTACCTTCGGCGGGAGATGATTCAGGTACCTAAATAAGACAGTTAAAGAACGCTTTGTTTGAAATATTGAAATTTGAAATTTTCAACTTACGAATCCTACGATTAACAACCGTACCTGGCGAGGTAGATCCGTTAAATTTGTCCTCAATCTTCGACTAGGTAGAACGTCGGGCATAGGAGGAGGAACAGGTGGTTCGCCATAGGCCTCGTGAAGTTCCTCGAGTCTGGTGCTGAGCGCGGAGCCTCTTCTGCTGGTGGCGTTCATTTTATTCATGAGCCACTTAGCTTGTTCCTCCAGTCTCTTCAATCTATCTTCTCTGGCGGCCAGAGCTTCTTCCGGCGTTCGAGTCTTAACCGTAGCTACTTTGTTCTCTTCTTGCCACGAGGATCCCATTTCCGAGCCCTCCTTCTTTCCAGCTTCATCGGGGGAACAGGCGGGGAATTCTTTGACCGTTTCCAAGCTCGAGGACGAGTCGACGGAAACGCTGTCGGAGTCAACGACACCCTCTGTCGACCTGATGCCGCGTTTCTCGATAATTCTTGAGTCTGCTTCTTGACTAGATGGCGTAATACACGCCGAGGACGGTTCGGACAAGCCAGTTTCGTTGAAACGATCCTTAACGACTGTCAGCGGTGCGCCGAAAACTGGAGTAAAACATTTATTAGACGGACCGGTGATCATGGAATCGGTAAAGTGAACGTTTTTCACGATCGAATGTGTCACAGTGGACTGGGGAAAGGGCCCGATGGTGAAAACAGACAACGTGCTGGTTGAGCTAGGTACGGTGGATGCGTGAGATACAGACGAGTCGAGGAGGTTTTCGGTCTTTGCTTTCTCACCGTCCGTGTCCTCTATTTTCTGACAGCTATCGCCTGTGCTTGATGACGGGGCGAGGTCTTGTACGGAGAGCGCTATAGAATCACTGTTGTTAATTAATGATTCTGGATCGCGCGATACGACTCTTGGTGCGAGACTCGAGTCTATCGTAGTGGAGCTTTCCGAGAAGGATGATTCATCCTTTGCAATATCGTCTGTGACGTCTACTTCGGCGCTTGGACTCGCAAAGGTCGACGAACTTGGTTCGTTAATTGCTATAAGATTCTGAATGACGTTTGTCAAAGCTTGGTCCAGGGAATCCAGCGAGCCTTGCGAGCTTTCTGATATCGATTGCTATAAAGATATCGTAATGACTATTTCCTACATGTCAAACTTCAAGGAGATTTCATAACCGTTGACTTACCGGTACTCCCGACGCGATTACGGACACCGCGTTCAACGTCACGTCCGCTGCTTCGGTCTCGTCCAGTTCAGCTTCCGTTTCCGGAGTGGGCGTTCGTTGCTCCAGCGTTGCCGAGGAACCTGTTTTTGGCTCGGACAACTCGGTGTCGGTCGGCTGTTCCGATTCTGTATCTGGAGTTGGTGCTCGAGGACTCTCCTGAAAATGAAGCTGTCAATTGATCATCCTTTCTTCTCCCATCATTTTCTCGATAATAATAATAATAATCTGCAACCTTTCGCGGCTTCCTCCGAGGACCTAGCCTAAGTCTTCCTTCTACAGCATCGTCCTCTTCGTCCGTGTCATCTCCTCGTTCATCGCTGAATCCACTCTCGGCGCTGCATACAAAAAAATCGCGATTAAACAGTTCGAGGCTCTTGAAAAAATTAACGAAGCATGTCATATCGATTTTGCTGGAGCTGGAGAAGTCGCGGAGAGTTGCTTACCTGTTGTTGAAAGAATCGTGAACAGCCAGAGCTTTCCTCGCGGCAAACTCCCGTCGCAAGCTTCTCCATTCCAACTCGGTGTTGGTGTTCTTCTGTCTGGCCGACTCCCATTTCTCGCGGCAATATTCCAACTCCTGCTTCAGTTCTTGGAGCATTTTTCGCTTCTGTTGCAGTTCGTATCGCAGAATCTTCTCGTGGGTGTGCAGCTGCTGGTGCTGAGCCTGCATTCGATCGACGATGGTCCAAGTTTTGCTCAGCTCCGCCGATACCGCCGACAGCCTCTTTTCCTGACGAAATACACAACACTTTTACGTTAACCATCGAAGTTCTAAATCCGATTTCAACAGAGGCTCGTACAATCGTTTCAGTTCCTTACCTGTTCGCCGAGTTTGCTCTCCAAATGTGTGTTGAGCTGTTTCATCCGGTTCATCTCCTTCTCCAAGTGTTTCTTCTCGAGGATTAATTCTTTCAGACGAATATACGTTTTGCTGACGGATATCACTAATCTGGGACCAGCTGGAGTGTCGACGGATTTGTAACAAATGTTAGGATCCGAAGCGGACGCTGCGGCAGCGGATGGGCTACCCTCGGCGTGACAGCTCAATAATTCCAACAAAACGCGCCATACCTGCGTCGATAAAAATTAAATCAGGATCAGGTACTCTATAAAAATTTTCCGAAGTCATTACCTTGGGTAAATTGTGAGCTATATCTTCTTGTTGCAGGTCGTCCTCCTTCTTCTCTGTCTCGCCATTGGTTCCACTACCCTCACCTTCGATACGTTTTTGAGTGCCTTTGCTGCCCTCCACTTGCTCCACCAAGTCGAGAAGAAGTTTCGGAAGCGCTGCAGCCTCGGTGCTTTCCTCTCTCGCCATGTCGCTTATCAGATCGTGATTCTCCTAATGATCATTAGCAAAATTAATTTTCCTCTAGCTACTAGATTTTTTCTAGTTGACCTCTGCTTAGGTTTGGTAGGTAAACAGTACCTGAAGTAGTTGAGTCAGTCGATCGAGATCCATGTCAGCCGAGGAGGCACCTAGAAGCATCTGAGTGAACAACCCATTGATGAGCGACATCTGATTCTGTAGATCTCTGCAGTCCGCCTTGGTGAGTCCCAGCTGAGACTCCAAATTCGATATCTCGGTATCTTGGACATCGATCTGTCGCATACGAGAATAGAATATGTTTGAGAAACACGTTCCTCGGCATGGAGCTGCAATTTAATACCTTCTCGTCAGCCTTTCTCAGATCCTCCTCTAAACACTCAGACTTTTTCAAGGAGTGATCCAATCTCTCCTTTACGTCCGCGAGCTCCCTGACCGCTGCTTCTTTCAATTCGGTCAGCACTTTCAGCCTCTCGTTGTAGAGACTCTTCAAGCTATTGATGTTCTCCAGCTGACGTTCGCACTCCAGGCCAACGTCGTCCTTCAGGTCCAGGAAGCTTCTGTCCCCTAATCGAACCAGTATCTGCGCGAGATGGTCCTTCAGCTCGTTGGCGCAACGTTCTCTCGCGTGTAGTGTTTCTCGCGTTTTGTTTGTGACCTCCGTCAGAGACAGGATACGGTAGCGATGCTGATCCGGCTCGGTTTCCAGTTGATAGCGCAAGTCGTCCACTTTCTCGATTTGGAAGCGAATGTCGTTTCTAAGCTCGTCGGAAACCTACGATCGCATCATAAAATTCTCATAAAATAGTTGACGATGGATCTTTCTCGAGTTCACTTTTCCATACCTTTAAGACACTAGTCAATCGCTGAGCTTCCACGCGTTTCATTGCTAGCTCGTGTTCGTCCGGCTTCTGATCTCTGATTCTGGACTTCCTCGAGCTTCCGTTTGTTTCGCTAGTTTGCGGCTGAGTCCGATCATCGTTCTGAGCGGACCTCAAAAGATCCAACACCCTCGATGTCTCGGAGTGAGCCTCCTTCTCTGCGTCCAATTCGCGCCTCAGTCGCTCCATCTCCGACGAAACAGCCGTGATCGCTCGTTGCCTGGCTTCTCTCTTCAGCGTCAACTCCTTTTTGAATTCCTCTATGTTGTTCGCACGGTCGGTTGCTGGACTCGCTTGCAGATCATCTGACGACGAAGGAGAATTAAAAAATGCATTATTCTCTAACCAAAGCATACATACCAACGTCTTCTCTCGAAGCGTCGTCATCGTCGCTTTTTCGTTCAGTCTTGATAGTCTCCTTCAGTCTTTGAATCTCGTCCAAAGCTTCCTCGAGAGCTTTTATTTGTTTCTTCTTGTCCGAAACTTCTTCGGACAGCTGCGCCTTTAATTTCAAAATTTTCTGATTCTCCATGCTCTTAATTTGCTCCTTCTCCAGCAACGACTTCTGCAGTTCCTGCTCCAGACTAAAGATCCTTGCCTCCGCAGTGTCTTTTTGCGTATTGAAAGCGTCGATTTCCTTCAACAGCCTTTCGGTTTCCTTCGTGGCGAAGTCAAGCTTCTCCATAAGATTGTCGTACTCTTCTCTGCGTTCCTGTAAGCTCGATTCTATTTTCTCGCGGCGCAACTTCGATTCCTAGAAACAATTATTCGGGTTACGAAACATAGACGTGCGCGTAAGTCATCTTAAGCCTAAAACGCACCTCGTAGTCCTCCGTCAGCTTCTTCGCCATCGCCTTCTGAACCGCCAAATCGCTCGCCAATCTTTCGTTCATGGATCGATACTCTGATCGTTCACCCTTTAATCTCTCGATTTCCTCCGACAACCTGATCGTCTCTTTTCTAGCGGCACTATCCTCCTCAGACTTTTCTAAATGCAAATTCGCGGTCGAGCGATCCGTTTCATCGCCGGACCTCGGGTCGTACGCTTGTCCGCCGTGCGTGATACGTATTCTGCAAACAGATCTTGTTCGACCCTCGTCATCCGTCGTTTCCACCCGGCTCACCAAAGGTTGACTTTCTGATTTACATTCAGGTACATCGATGCTACTTAGAACCCTGTCGTGATCGACGTCGCGCGCTTCCATGTTTTCCGTTGAACGACGAACGCCCATGCACCCTTGTCGGTCGTCTGTTCTCTCTAGTTTCTCTAGTCTGGACCGAAGCTTTTTATCGTCCCCCTGACGCAAGTTCCTTTGTCTATTCTGGCAGGTGTCGCGATCGTCGGTCTGCAGGTTCTCCAATCTGTCGAGTCTGAGTTCCATCGATTGCCTCTCTTCGTCATCCTCGTCATCCCCTTCCTGCTCGATCGTCAGTCTTTTCTTCGAGGCCTCGTCCAACATGCACGACGCAAAACCCCGTTTCCTCAACTCCCTCTCCCTCCTGAGGTCCATATACAGCTCCTCCAAATGCGCCAGGGTGGCCGTGTGAGCTGTCGCTAACTGCTGATTGGCCATGGCGAGCTGCGTGATCGCTCTCGAAAGCTCCATGGCTTCTTGGTGTTGCTGAGAGAACGAAGGGCTGTGCCCCTCGGCTGTCTGCCAACCTGTCATCTGCGCGGCGTACGTCAACTGCAATATAAATAAATGGACTAATTTCAGAGATGCTAATTGAACTGACCGGCTGATCGACGATCGGAATTCTGGATCAAGGAATGGGTACGTCGCTTGTCGTTCCTTTTGCATTGCATCGCGATGAGATGGCTGTGGACTGCTAAAAGACATTAAAAAAGCACAATAGTCGAATGACAAAGTTACTTGCCATTTTACCACGAACTCCTAATCGTTTCTATGGAGAATCTGTCGCCTTATTAGAATTCCAACAAATATATTTGTCCAACAGAATCACTTACATCGAAAGCGGTGATGCTACCGAGGAACTTCCAATGCGTTTTTCTAATATCCCTTGGATATTTCCCAAAGAAATTAGTATCCCTGAAGAACTCGAGCTTCGTTGATCCATTCACGCGACACGAGACGCGACAAACTGCTTCGCTGTTACGATCAACGATCGATCCGTGAGTTTGTAAGCTTTCCGAAGCTCGATCCACGCCCAATGATACGCGAGAACGCACTGGCAGAATGCGTGATCGCGTTCTCTGAAGCAACTCGAAACACAGGGGGCACGTGATCGCGGATCGATCCCTGCGAACTCGTCGTTTCGTGACCGTGACTCAGCGTGTTCTCCCGAAATCACGAAGAGTCGAGGAGCTTTTGGAGATCAGCCAACGGTTCGCGTCGTCTCTTCCGCGCCGGACAAAAGAGCGCGCGCGTTCCGCTCGGAAAATTTCGTGCCCGGCTTCTGCGCGCCGCTTCTCTCTCTCGACAAAAGCTCGCGCTGTTTTCCGATCGTTCCGATTTAAATTAGACGTACTACAAGGAAGCGGATTTACAGTTCGTTCCAATACTCAAACGAGTCTCATCTGTATGCAAATTTCAAACAGAAAGTAAACAACTGAATAATCGCGACTGTGAGCCTATATTGCAAGTTCTCGAGAACCTTGTAAGAAAGTTCGAAGTTCGATTGGAAGAGAATGCTTTCGTAAAATTGGCTGTTGCAACGGACAAAGGAATGCGTTGCTTACCAAAGTCTCCCGACGTGGAGGTGGCAAGTTCGACAAACTCGGCGCAGATGGTCTTTGACTGCACCATTCTTCGCCTCTGAAGGTCGCGTAAGGACTCGGACCCTGCAAACCAAAGGGAAGCCTCTGAGTCCTTGCACAGGGTGATCTCAAGGGAACCGTGAAACGTTTCTGTCTGGCGAGTCGATTGAAACCAAGAAAGTCGCGGTATCGGTCTGTTTCTACTGAAATGGTCAGACATACGAAAGATCACGTTCGATCTTTCTGAAATTATTTATTTGTTATAAAGGCAAGCTTAGCCTTTGTCTATGTACAATATAACTGTAAAAGTTTGCTTGCTATTTTGAAAACCACTTTATACAATGACGCGTAAAACGTTTTCCCGCGACTAGTTGATCGTTCGAGTCGCTCTCAAGACCGATAAATATCCGTTTTAAATTTAACCTGCGATCGAGGTTCTTCACCCACGTCGAACGCGCTAGTCCTCGTCCTTTGTCGTATATTTTCGTTCGTGTATTCCGGACAGCAGGATTCCTCTGTCCCGTAGATAAATGTTTCCTCGCTCCGCGGTCTCAAAGGTACCGAAGGAGGATGTCCACTGCTACTACTGCCAGCCGCACCCATGCTGTACTTACTCTCCACTTGAGCTACTAATTTCCGCGTATAATTCGTTTTTTCGGTCGAATCGATTGTCCAGGTTCGGAACGTGCGATTAAATTATCTGTAACGATAACGAGAATTATTCGCAATCCCCTGGTAGAAAAAATGTCACTTCGTCTAAGCACTCTATCACAATTTCTCAGACCTATTATCTCTTCTTTGGCAGAGTATTTCGCAAGTTGATTTCGCTAATCTACGGTATTCTGTTTAGTTCCCAGAAGGAGCGAGAGCGAAACTGCGAGTTGGCACCGAGGAAAAAACTCGGACCGGGTCAGCTTGTATTTTTAGAAGATAGATCGATCTAGATCCTTTATTTGAAAATGTTCCGCGGAAATTTCTCTCGTTTCGTATCGTAAATTTCAAGCGTAAGCTTTTTCCTTTTCGTAAGATCAAAGATACTTCTTTACGAGAAGGGAATCCTCGAAGAAGCTTTATGACTCGCGTGCCGCCGCGTCGTTCCTCTCAACACGCGGCTCGATGTAAATACGCTTAAATATAACTCGATCTACGAAAACGGACGCGCATTTCAGGCACGACCGAAGAAAAACAAAGAGTCCACGAGCGAACAGAGTGTTCGAACCTAGTAGCGTTCAACGCGGGAATGGAAAAGAAGGAAAACGAGTTCGGTTCGACTTCTATTGAGGAAGTTCGCCAATAATCGTGACGGAACGAACTTGAACGAGTAGGTAGAGATTCATCGAAGGTAGCTTCGGTTTATCAAAATGAAACAAACACGAACACAGACCGTCGCCATAAATACATCATAAATAGTGGCGCACCGAGCGCTTCGGCACGCGATCCAAATTTAGATCCATAAGAGTAGCCCGATAAGCTCTACGAACGGAACCAAATAATTCCCTACGCGAATCGCGTAATCATCGAACGGACGCGGCGTCACGAAGAGGAGAGTTGCACGAAGACCAGAGGAAGTTGCAAAACTCGCGGACAAGCGATGGGCAAACTCGATGATCGATAGACGGAAAGGTCGCGTGTCCTGGGGACAGCGTCGATGACACCGAGATCGTTTTCATGTTTATCGCTACTCACCGGCGGTGGTCATCCGAAATCGTCGGCTATTCTCAGGGCTCGATTTCCTTAGGGTCAACGACGACGCTTGACTACCGTCGTCGCTTGCGGCCAGCGACTCACTTCTCTAAAAATACCATTTCGAAAGACCGCGTGCGCGAAGACGGCGAAGCCTTCGCTCGGGAAATCTCGCGCAGGCGCGATCACCGTTTCCGTCTCGCTTCCCGAGATCTAGGAAGTTGGTTCTGCCTTTTGGTAATCCTCCTGAAACGCGGCAACCGTCGATCGTTGTCTTGAGTATCTTCCACGCCAGTTTAATTGTATCTTTTTGTTTCCAATGCTCTTTGCATCCCTAGGAACGGTAGGTTTTGAAGCGTGGCGCCGATTTCCTCGCGGATGAACAACTCCAACGCATCCCTTCGGCCCGAGAGAACGTCGACAAAAAAAACTTTTTGCGCTTTTACGCATTACTGAGCCGTTGGCAACGGATCACGGTTCGCGACGCGAGTGGATTTTGCGACTTTTGCGCGGATTCCTTTCTACGCGGGAAACTTTGCGGTATCATAAATTCGCGACAAGTTGCTCGCCGATTTCAACGCTGAACGAACGACGTAGCCTCGAAAACGCAAGCAACCTAACAATAGCACCGCTCGTCTTCTATATTTAGTCAGTTTTTCGAACTGTTAGGCGAAGCGGTACACGTGCTTGTGGACAGAAACGTGTCGACTTCCTGGACGACGTGTTTTCCCTGTCACCGTGGCCTGTCTGCTTTCGAGTAATTTGAACAGGAATTCGTCAGGTTTTCGCGGCCATGAGAGGAAAACCTGCTCAGACACCGTTATCGCCAACAGTTTTGCGCAGCTTTTAACGTTTCCACGCATTACAATGTACTTTGTTTTAAAAATAATCCGAGGAACGACGCAAACAGCGAAATGCACTACTCCCGCGCATGTAAACTTTTATTATTATGCGAAATGTGACGCGTCTTGAAGGTTGCTTTTCCCCATCCCCAGCGTAGTGATTCCGCTGAAACATGGTTGCTTACGGGGTATGAATCTCTTCTATTTTCAAAGAATGATTTTATAAACGAATAACAACAAATACATTGAGGTCAATGCAAACGTTCGCAACGAGGAAGGGAACATGTAAGTGTAGAGAAACAGTCGCGAAGCTGGAAATTTTATTTATTTACATTTCATTTTCGCTAATGCCTCGACTAATGACTCTTGCATATTCAGCCCGAGAATATGGCACGATAGCAAAGCTTCGCAAGAATTCGTTCGTTCTTGAATATCCATCGTTCGGAGTTCAATACCTGCAATACATGTAAAACGACTAAAAGGTGCAAAATCCTTTTCAAGAACCAATTACCTTATAATTGAAAACTTAGCGTCCCTGCCCTTTATCAAAATAGCGGACGGCTTCGGTCGTAGTGTCTCGAAATCAATCGGATTTTCAGACCCGCCTTCCAAGTTTGTCGAAAGCGTGGTATTCATCGGGACATCGTTCGTTGCATGAGTTTCGAGATAATGTTTCAGGTTTGCCATGCTCTTATCGGTCAGCCGACGTACCCCGTTGGTCACTTCGAAATCGCACTGACACACGAGCGCCCACTCTTGGCAAATAAAAGAAAATAATTTTTATTCCTTTCACCGATCGGATGTCTTACCTCTTCTCACCTTTGTCAAATTGTTTGTTCGTAGTCGACTTCACCGAACAATTGTGGTGGCAAGTGCCGCTACACTCGCGCGAATTCAATTCCAAGGAATCCAGACTTCCCACAACATCTTTCTCGTCCACCGCACTGTTTTTCGTTTCCTTCGCCTTGCCCTCGACACGGTTAGACTCTTCGATTTTACAATTGTCTCTGCATGCATTATCGTCTGCTTCGTTTGTCGCGCCCGTGGCCTCTTTCGTTACGTAACAACCACTGGAATTATTAAGCAACGCGCTGCTCGATTTTCAACGTGGAATAGAACGCTTCGTTCCTTACCGCTGGCTACCAGGACTCGACGCCATTTCCACCATGGATGAGGTAACCTCCGAAAATTTCTCGGGCCACGGCAATTGTTCCCCGGACAAGATAACGTTAAGGTGTTTCGTGTCGAGACGCGGAGTGTGTTCTCTCTTCGGAACCGATCTATCCGCTCGAGGGTCGTGGGATATAGTCTCTTTGTTTTTTAACGATTCGTTGATCAACGAGCTCTGTTCGTACGATTTGGAATTAATTTGAACGCGACGCGACTCCGCGAAGTATGAAAAACATTACCATCCCCCGAGGAACCTCTTCGATGTTCATCTTCTCCATTGTCTCGTCGTGGTTCGACCCCATATTTTCTATCGACTGATTGAGCATCGAAATTTCCGGAATTGAAATACACTTGTCGACTTGCTCGTCGTTCATCGAAGACAGTTCATTCGGTTTAATTTTCTGAGCAATTATCTAAATGGGATATGAAAGTAGAATTCAAATTAAAACCTATATGCATTCCTAGTTACAAGTGAACTTGTAATTCTGTGTAACCTGATTTCCCACTTTATCTGTAATCTTAACAACTCCTATCACGTTCAAACTCCTGAACATTTCCGCGACGAACGTCTCGTACGTCTGCAGCCTATTCGTCAAAACCATCCGCGCCATTTTCTCCCTCTTCACGGCTGTTTCCGTTAATTCTAAGTCGCGCAGGAGTCGTCCTACGCGAGCCCCAAGTTGCTCGTTATGCGACATCAAGAACTGAATCTGCAGTAACTTAAACGAGTCTCCTAATTTAGAACGCTAAAAGGAGGCGTTTTCTCTTGAATATTTTTTCCTGTCTAAGAACGACGTCTCACCCGATTCGAGGTAATCGTTGGCGCCAATTTCGTGGTGCAGTGAAAACGACACGTTCTTTGTCGATGGTCCGAGAACGAACGATGCGGTCGAATCACGTCGTCAAACATTTTAGGCGTTTTGATCGGCGCGATGAATTTCTCCGTGTAGTTTGGTGGCAGCGATCCAATCGAGGGTGCACCTTCATCGGTCATTACAGCATGCTAAAAAATTAGAAACGATTCGTAGCATCGATACGTTACAACCGTTTAATTTGCATCGAATAGTCGATCGTTTCGAGGTCGCTGGTACCGAACTGCTGCTGCTTACTTCCGGTGAGTTGGCGTTTCGATCGAGGAATCGATGTTTCGGATTCATGGTGAAACGAAAGTACGAGCTCGTGCCCATGATTTCGATTTCTTTGCTTATGTAGACGAAGTGGTAATCGATATTCAAAGACGCCTGTGATAGGTTTTGAATGAAAAGCAAGAGATGGTTAATAGGTTTATTAAAGCATTGGTAATTGAAAAGTCCTTAGTGGATCGGGAGTTTGCGAACGATTTCAGTAGAGATTGGTGACCTTAAATAAAGAAGACCGATAGAACTAGAACAGATCCCTCTTGAACTCGTTCGCAAATGCAATTTTCCGATTAATATTTGATAACCTCTCGATGAAACGTATGCAAAAACATGATACTGCGCCTGGACAGAGACGACATTTTCGGTGCCACGAGAACGTATTCAAAAGTCAGATACTGCTGAAGGTTGGTCCACCCTCTGGGGAAAATTCCGACCCAATCGCGCGACGACGTGCTGACCTTAAATATTTATATACGGAAAATTATACGAAAATTAGAGCATCGAATGTAATTCACTTACGTACTTTATCGTGTAACGTGTACTCTACTATAATGTCCTCGTCGATGGAATATTTGGTTTTCAATTTCTCGAATTGGACTCCATTGGCGTATTGACAATGAAACGTGCCACGCGCACAGCAGTACATTTTCATGAATATTTATAGCGGAAAGACAGAGTCAAAGGCAATATTCAGCGAAGGGACGCTTTGAAAACAGCTGTGTCCGAAATACATATAATATATCCTACGGTGTAGTCGAGTCGTCATCGAGTAAAAAAAATTAAGAAACAAAGGAACTACGAATACGTTAACCAATTAAACGTGGACAATATTATGTTATTAAAATTGTGCGAAGTATTACAATTTTGATTGCACGTAACCATCGGTGGGTTTACAGACGATTAAACTGCATACGATTTTTTACATTATCTTCATTTTTACCATTGCTCGATTGCAAAGAATGAAACAGCAGCTGCCATCTGGCAGCGGCACGCAGATAATGGTGAAAGCACGAATGCGCGCCAAGCAATCGTAAATCTGCTAACCGCAAATTATTTCACGAATAACGTCTAACACGACTTTAACTCCGATAATAATCATACGTTCTTACATCGGAGACCGGAATGTCTACTTTATTTCCTTTAAAATGCATTCGATGTTACCGACGTTGTATAAAACAGACGTAGGCAACAAACACGCGAACCAGTTGCAAATAGGATACCTACTAAACGGTTAAATTACATAATACAACTCGATATATACGTTCCAAGTTCGAATATGTTAAATATATACAATATTGAAGACATTACGTCGTCATTATAATATTATAAGTGAACCTCGCATGCATAAATGCGCGGCTGTTCTTTGTATAACCAAGACAAGATTCCTGTGAGATTCATCACAACGTCAGAAACAACAATCTTCGTTGAGAAGAGTGAGCATATATACGAAAAAAACTGATGAATCGCCTTAGCAGTGAATTAAATTGCACTGAATACAATTGAATCGTTCGGAACAGTACATGGTCAGCTAGAGGGGTGGGAAAAATAAGGGTTGCGGAAGAGTATGAAAGTAGAGTTACCGCTACCTATCGGAGCACTTAATTTGTTCAACAAGTTTAAACATTTAGCTCGATTGCATACAGACCACATATCCGTAGCTTGCGAGCAAAGCGTTCAAATGCTGCCGCCAGGAGAGCGCTCGAAAACGCATGTGCGAGATCTAGCTGGTCGCGTTTCCCATTGGCGGAGGTCGGAGTCGGTCCTCTGGAGTGTACGCGCGCTCAGGTGCCGTACTGATCGCTTCGATGACGAGGCTGTCAGTTACTGTTCGTGCACGAATACGACGAAACGGCCGGGTGTCTTGGCGGGTTTTCGCTCGGAGCTGCGCTCACGAGACCAGCTCGAGAACGAGGAAACGGAGGTGACGTTTGTTGCCATCGATAGAGTGATCGTTGAACGGCAGTCGAGAGGAACGAGGACAACCGAAGGACTCGCGTTTGAAATATTACCAAAGGACAGAAAACCTGTCGAACTCCTGGGGCTGCATTTCAGTCCAGGTTTGACCGCACCGATAGGCGGACGATTCGCAGGTGAGCGAGCTGCAAACGATGCGTCGGCGCGACTGAGCACGCGGTTCTTCCGTCTCGCTTTCTCCTCTACCCTCGTCGCCTTCACCATGGAAATTCCATAAGAATTTCCGTCCTGTTAGGAACGCGGTCTACCGAGGGGACCCTATCTTGATCGGTATCCGTTTCCCCTCGAATATCCATCGTCTCCTCTGTTTCCTCTACTCGACGAGCGAGTCGATCGCTGTCACGGAAATTCGAGTGAAAACTCACGGCTGAGGCTGGCTCGGGATTGCGTGACAGTGTACGTACGGTCCGAGGTGACCGACGAATATTTGACAGCGGACTGACAGAAACTCAATTACGGTGCCGCGCTGCCTAGACACGGATCGTTATCGATGCTTCCCTTTTCCCACGGAATTTCCAAATATCTCTCGTGTCTCCATGGATGAAACACACCGCGATGCGGGTATTTCGGTGCGTTGAAATATTCAATGGATCCTTCGGTGTGCCGTTCGGAAGCGTTCCAGTCGATCGCTCTTTTTTCATCGATCGATACGTGCACCGTCGAGATCGTTGGAATTAATGATCGAGCCAGGATCGCCGGAGAGACGTCTTTAGCCGTGTTCATCGACTTCCTAAGCATACATATCGGAAGACCCTCGGCTCGCGACCTTGATCGCGGAGCTGGTATAGCGGTATACTCGACCAGCGCGCGTCGATAATTCCTGTCGTGCATTCTCTGTCTAGTATTCGCCGTCTTCGCGCCAATCCGCTCGTCCTCTATCAGCTGTGTGCCTCGATGCCTGTTTACAACGTGTTCCTCCTCTCGGAGTCGTCCAACGTTACGCTGTTTAATCCGCTCGTCTCGGGTCATCTTGTGGATCCAGACGTGTTTTGACGCGCGTACCAAATTGTATATGTGTTACGATCACTTACCGTCCGACTTATCTCGAAGCAAAAATTAGAGGGAGAAAATTAGTGGGTAATTTCGAAAAATTGATGCACACTTCTTATCTTTATATGTTAAAGAACAACCGGCATACGTGGACTAACGACGTACTGTCGAGAATAGTATTATTAAACGTCTTGATCGTGCGCATCGGTTTGCACAAAGGTGACATGCAGCCAGAAACTGTTACTCAACCTAACGTCAATTCTTGCCATTCGTAAAACACACGCATTCGATAGAAAACCTCGATAATTATTTATTAAATATCTTGTCGGAGCGGGTATCTGTACTGGAATCGCTCTGCTCCAAAAACCTTTATTTTTTACGGACTTTAGTAGTCGGAAACTAAAACTGTATTTTTATTATCGACTGTTTTCGCGTTCGTGCAGCATTATGGCACCTGAATGTTGCAGAAGTTTCGCTGGATCGTGTTCCAAGTATGTGGTCATTGATTTTTCTACTATTGAAAAGCGTCCTAATTTTCAAGCCAATGTTCTCATAATTTCCTCGTCGAAATTCTGGCATTCACCGTCGTAAAGCACACAGTTTGATCAAACTCGGCGCAATTACGACGCAATATTGTATCCGGAAAATACAAATATTCGTATAAAAATGTGAAATTGACAATAACGGAAACAGGTTTCGGTGAGGTACAGTACGCCGAAAAAGTTTACTCGCGCACGAATAACGTGACCTGCATGGCGAAAGCATAACACAGGAAGTAAAACAGTCTCAAATCTTTTCCTTTCAATCTAATAGCGTTGCAATTTTGGATTTTGTTGTACGGCACCACGGTCTTTTATATACCATCGGTTCAGATGGCCATCAATTTCATTACCTTTTTTTTTTCATACTAAGCGACTAGTATGAAAGTCGTAGTGGGGGACCGTCGATGTCGGAACATTCTAATCGCAGAATCAACGATTCCGCGATTCCATACCTCGACACACAATCGCTTGCGTGCATTCGTTGCGTCGCGCCATTGCGGCAACACGAAATACAAGAAAGAAAAGTTAAGGTTTCGATATTCCGAGGCTTATATTGAGAATCAATTGGCAAACAATGGAGACCGTAGCAAAGTGCAGATCGATGCACTCGATTTCACGGTTCCTCGAGCGTAACCGGAACTAGAAGTTAATGTATATTATTCCCGTCTTCCTCGTTGTTTCGCCAATCGAAAACAAAAGGTCGCAGCATCTCTGGACAAATCGCGACAAAGTTGTACACGCTCGGTTATTTTCCTGCAGTTAGAGCTCAGTTTCCGAAGAACGGCGCGACGGAAACGATTAGATAAACAGGCTTGGACACAGCGATAATCAAGGCCCGTCGTTAAACGAACCCGCAGCAGCAAACTAATGCCCGCGGTTCGTTCTCGAAATGCTGCGGGTTACCCAAGAGTAATCCTAAATGCACAATCTATCGCTACGTAGGGGTCACGTGTTGATAATTTGGGTCATGCATTTTCGACCGCGCACGTTTACCGCCTTTATATCGACCCGAACCTTGTCTCTTTATCATCTGCTCCGCTCAAAGTACCTACGCCAGTCTCCGAGCGTGGTGTAGCTTTAATTAACATATTTCATCCTGGCACCGTATTACCGTGTACACGATCCTCTGCTCCGTGTCATCGTACGTTCAAAGTTAGGAGATTCGAGTTGGATCGATGATGTAATTTCAAGTACTTTCGAAATATTGACTCTGTATACCATTTTTTTTTTTCACCGAGGGTGGTCAGAATAGGAAATTCTTCTCCCATTTTGAGACGACTCGTTGGATCTTGCACTCGCGTTTGCTCTTGATCTTTTTCGATCGCGTTTGGCCGAGAGAATGGTTCGCGTGTCGCTCCGGCGTGGCTGTATCGGATTCCCCGACGGAAGGATACCGTTCTTTTTTCTCATTAGTTATTTAAGCGGACTCCGTCGAATGCAACGAACGCACGAAACCGGCGACGGCGTACGTTCGATCCCCGTTGTCGCGAACGACGATTTCATAATTCAGGTCACGCATATCTCTAAGCCCGTTATTATACTCGCCGCATCGACTATTGTTTCAGTGACTGTCTCTCCCGAATGGCGTACTCAAATGAATCGACGCGAATCGATATCTCTCAATTCCGTCCTGGTGTCAGCCGTGTTTCGCGACTGTCGCCGTCATTTCAGCGAAAATTTTAGGAAGATAAACGAATCTTTGCACTTTACTTATCGTTCTAAATAAACTTTTTTTGTGTTTTGAGCTCGTGTGTCGATTTCAGTTCATACAGTCGAAAGAGTTCGGTTCGTTTTTATATTCGAACAGATGTACTCGGTAGACTCCGAAGAGGAAGCGAGTTCCGTTACGAGTGTGGATCTACCTTAAGGGGTTTTCTCACGTATAATCGATACTGGTTTGATAACATTTCTCGGGAAATGTCGGGTCAATGTACGGATGTAACGCTTCCACCAGCTCGCTGGAATGTTGTGCCAACTTGTGCTTCCTACGTACGATCATTTGGCATCCCGCGTTGGATCGCGTCGAATCTTAAGCTGTTCGAGACTGAGATCTCCAATCGACGATTTGGGTCGCGCACTCGTCACCATTATTTCTCAGCCTTTAATACGGCGTAGCTTCGAACCGCGTATCCTTCGAAATACCTATTCATTTCCTCCGTTCTCCTCTGCGGAATCAGGCCAAATGTTTAGCCTGTTAATTTTAATTTCTCCGTTTGTTTCACTAGCACACGGAAAAATGGTCGTTTTGCTATAAAATCAGCAACAGAAATAGACATAGCTCGCAGTTTCGCGATGCACGATACCGTCGGTTTCAGATCAAACTTTTAATTTTGAAAACTTTTCCTCCAACACCGGCCGGCTCTCAATCTCCCAACAAAGTTAAACTGAATTCAAATGCGAGGGAAAAAAAAATAGTTCTTTATAAATAGCGAGCGATAAATTGACCTCGCGAGCATGGAGCGGCGGAACGCGGTAGGCGATAATTAAAAAATTCAATTTCGTGCGGCCGTGATACCAAAATTCCAGCTGGCTCGCTCGAGGAGCCACCGAAAAAGATGGACGAGGGGATGAAAACTTTTCGTGCGCTCTTCCGTAGTCGCCGAGATTGCAACACCGGGTGCTCGAAAGCTCGAGCAACGTTTTCGAGGATCCTCTCGAGGCACCAGGAAAAATGTCGGTGAAACGGGAAATCCCTCTAATTAGAGAACGGTTCAAGGCGCTATCTCGAATGTCGGCGTAGTTCTTGAAATTTCGGACTTCCGATGCCGAGTTTCTCGTTAGTCACCGACTTCACGAGACTGCTATTTCAATTTCTCGAGCGTGTAGAGACCGATAGGACCTCCATAATGTTGACACCGCAAACATTTTACTCGGTAGAAAGCCGAGGAACGTCATTCTTCGTCAAAGATACCGACGCAAGAAAATTGACTGGGACTGTTGGACCTTGGTATCGTAGGATTCCGAGCCAAGGAAAATGTTCAACACAATAAAAAGAAACTTTTGAAGAATTTATATTCTATACAGTAACGATCCGCACTGTTCCAGTGAAAACTGAATTCTGATTTGCTGAGCTTTTTACGAGCCTTTATAATTGATCTATTTCTAAAGGGTGAATAAAGGGTAGGGACGACGCGTCACGACGGTCAAGGAATGGTTATGAATCAGGAAGAATACGAAGTACAACAGGATCTAGAAATTTGGAGGTGAGATTAGGGTGTTTCGCTATGGAGAAATCTATGCTAACAGTTACGTTGCGACGAAGCGTGTTGGTCATCCAACAGTACGATATTCTAGAGTCAAGAGAAGCCTCGGTTTCGTGTTCATTTCAGTCCCTGACGTGATTACGTCGAGTGTCTCTCAACAATCCGCGTTACTCACGGGATGACCCGATACCATGGGCATCAACTTTCCATCCGAGCTTCGCGTATGAAGTATTCAGCGTCCCTTTGGATGCTTCTGTATCGATCGGGATGGATTTTCGTCGCGATCTTTGTTCTATGATATTCGGGACGCGTCTCTGGAGTCGAATAAAAGGTGAAACGAGCGGAATGAGCGTACCGGAGGAACAAGGAAGCGGGAAAAAT